ACATGTTAGAGAGCACATGTAAACTTACATATATAGTGATATATATATAGATTTATTTGTGCTTAGAAAACGAGAGAAAGTGCAGGTTTTCTGTCTGTCTATCCATCCACCCATCTGTCTATCTGTCCGTCAGTTTGTCTGTCATCCTATCTACCTATTTGTTTATGTATATCTATATGTGTCTGTAAGTTTGTCTATATGTATCCATTAATCTATATGTCTGTCAGTTTGTCTGTCTGTCAGTCTATCTATTTATCTCTCTATGTCTGTTTGTTTGTCTGCCTGGCTTTTTCTCTACCTATCTTTCAATCTTTCTTTCCCTATGAATTCTAATTTAATATACACACATAAGCACACATGCACTCGAGTGTGTGTATATATATATATATATATATATATATATATGTGTGTGTGTGTGTGTGTGTGTGTGTGTGTGTGTGTGTGTGTGTGTGTGTGTGTGTGTGTGTGTGTTGCCCGCGCGCGCGCGTTTGTACGTATATAAAATGTGTAAAATAAAGGTTTAAATATAATCTAAAGGGGGGAAAAAATATCTTTATATCGCTTACTTACAATAAAGTTTCCTTTTTCTCCCTTGAGCTTCAGCATCAGACTAAGGGAAGCTGGAGAGAGAAGCGGAGTCTCCCTCGGCAGCCAAGGAGACCCTGAAACGCACAGTAACAAAGCCTCACATCCGTTTATTAGAGTAACAACGAGGGACGAAGGGTAAAGAGTGCGTACACTAGGGTCTCGCTGGTCCCTGTCTTGTTAGCAGTGGTCCCGGCGGTGTCACTAGAAGGTATAATTAGAGATGGACAAAGCCAAGTTTGGCGTCTGGGAGATCCGAACATTTTACATGTTATCGACCCCTCGAGCCCACACGCAGAGCCCGGCCAGTTATTATGCAACCCTGCCGATTCTTTATTCAATAGACGAGAAAAAAAAATAAGGGGGAGGAAAGTACGGGTATAATATCACGTGGCTTCTAAGAATAACATGCATTTAACGTGTATTCATTTCTATCTCTATACTTTAAACATTACGACATCCCTCACAGACCTCTTCCATGGACGATTGTACGCGATCTTATCACAGGGCGAGACAAGGAGTCCGCGTGCGGGGTTGACACATAGTCACTTGGGAATAATTTGTGGCCGAAGTTGTAGCCGAAGGTCAGATATGTCGGGAGTCGTCCTCTGGCTTTGCCTGCTTGGTCTCCCCCGGCTTGCTTTTGCTTGCATAGTGGAGGGTGCTTGAATTTGTCATCCGTAGAACGTCGTGGGTTGGGGGTACATGTGTGAAGTTTATGCTGCATGTGTAATATTCAAAGGGAATTGGTTATGTTGAAATGCGTCTTGTCGATGCTAAAGGGTTTGGTGGGAGCGAAGAAAAGAGCACGAATGATTATTTCGTTTGAGATCCTTTGAGATGTGTTTTAATGAATGTGTCAGATAGCGCCACTTTGCAAAACGACGATTCTGCACGCTCTTTAACACAGAACAAAGCAAGAGCATAGTCATGAATGGTGATTTTTGTGGTAGACTATTTTAAAAGCGAAAATTGCCAACCAAGCCGGACACTGGTCACACTCATACCCAAAACACACATACTTCTTTCACTAAGTAAACAGATGAATAAATAAACAGAATAACGCAAATTACAGCTTAAACCACCTCATACTCTTCCCAGTACGAAAGACGAGCCAACGACACCACAGACTCGAACCTCCGTCGCTCCTTCTATTTTTTCTTCTTTTTTGCGCTCTTAAAGAACTACACGGCCGCGCGAGAGCTTTTTATTTTCTGCCAATATTCCCGGCAAAGGAATCCTCGCTTGTTCCCCCAAATCGTAAATATTTATCTGAATGCTTGATCGAGGAACCAGATTTCAGATCGACACCGATGGCCATTCAGCGGAGCGAGTGTGGCTGCGCAGGGCGAGTCTCTGATGGCCATGCGACGCCTCACGTGGGAGATGGCCCGGCGGGAGATGGCCCGGCGGAGGAGGGGGCCAAGGTGGACCTCGGGGCGCGAGTGCAGGGACGGCCGACTCATTCCTCAATGGCAGTTCCATGGAAATGCGAGGCGGGATTAGCACACAGTACTGCCGACTTGCTGGCTTTGATGTAGTGGTGGCAGCGGTTGCACGCCTTTTGGGGTTGCTCTATTATATGTATATGTATATCTATCGGTGTCAATCTATGCATTTCAGAATACAGACACTTTGTGTGTGTGTGTGTGTGTGTGTGTGTGTGTGTGTGTGTGTGTGTGTGTGTGTGTGTGTGTGTGTGTGTGTGTGTGTGTGTGTGTGCGTGCGTGCGTGCATGCATACATATACACAAACACACATATATTTATATATGTGTGTGTGTGTGTGTGTGTGAATGTCTGTGAATCGATGTATGTTTATGGAGGGGATGCATACAGGAGTGCAGGAGATATTGTTGATATCGGGGCCGAGTTTACTTACTCCCCTTTCTTCTATAAAAAAAATAGTTTATAAATAAATCAAGTTGACCTTTTTCTTTTGACTGTCATTGTATATTTTCATATTGTAAATAAAATGATAACGGCACAGTGTCATTTATCGACTATGGTCAAACACGATAAGACTCCTAGTGAGTTTTTGCAGAAACAAATAGTTAGCACTGGCAATCAATATTTTTTTTCAAAAACGTTTAATTACCTTATTTTCTTAAGAGATCGCGGATTCAGATACCATTTATAAATGCAGTAATGGGCAGCTGGGAAGGAAATCTGAGTAATACCTATAAGTCTCGGATTCAGGTTCGAAAACTTCCCTCACGAACCGCGTGGATCACCATCTCCTCCAGCGTTGAAATCGCCAACAAACTACCGAATCTCCTGTGATTTCCAACCGAACTTTCATTCGAACCGAACATTTTAAATCCTCTCCCCCCCCCCCACCCGCACCCCTTCGCTCTATCAACCCCTTCGATCCACCCCATCCATCTCATCCTTTCCATACGTCATTAGCTAACGAAAAAAAAACCCTGTGACCTCCCCTCCTGTTTAAGTAAGCGGAGAAACATGCGCCCAGGTACAACACCGACGGAGATCGAAGTCCCATATAAGGAAGAGGCCTTTTTGGTGCTGCCTCCCAAGGTCAGGCGGACTCATAAGGAAGGTGTTACGAGAAGAGGCAGGAGGAGGATCGAGACCTTTAAAACTGTCAGGATATATTGATTCCTGCGCTGAGTAATGAGGCAGCCGCGGGCGATCGGTTCAATTAAGGGCTAACTTATGGCGCTGCAGTCTGGGGATTCCTTACTCGGAGGGCGTGAGGTTGGGCGGGGGTTCTGCGCCGGGTTCGGGAGGGAAGGGAAAGGGGGGCTTCCGAGGACCGAAGGGGGAAGTGGGGTTCGTGTGGGTTTAGGTTCACTTTCCGAGGGTCTTGTGGTGAACCTCTTCTTGATGGCGATGCTTATAGAGCAGATTAAACATGATTGTGATGCGTTACAACAGTATTAGTATTAATGGTTTGATGATATTGCTATGATTATTAATAATTATGTATAGTTATCAATAATTATAATAATCTTAATGAAAACGAGTAAGTATTATTTTGGTAACCATATTGTGAACCATGATTATCATTACCATTAATACACTTGTTACGCTCAAAAATATAATGATAATAAAGATGCTTATTGAAAATATTTATAATTACTATTATAATAAATAAAGCTGCTATAATTAATGATATCATTATCTCCATCAAAACAGCAAAAATAAGAACGATACCAATAATTACAATTATGAAATTTTGCCAGTAATAATTATGATTATAGGAATGGAGATGACGAACTATCAACGATTATCCTATTAATGCTAATATGAGCGTTGTCTTGCGCCATTCTGATCTTATTTGACAATAAAGCGTTGATAATGAACTACAATAAGAATAATATCAATATTAATCATTATAAATTTATTAGCAATAATAACAATGATCATTATAAATCTTAAGACGATCAACGGCATTCATATCAATACTAATTATAGTATTGCCCTATGACATTCTAATATCATTACATGAGAATAATATACTGTATTATATTAAAATACGTGTGTGGTGAATGGAGCGGTCTCTAAGACATTCATGAAAGCAATGCGTGTGACTGAATAAACAGACAAATAGATAAATAGACAGGAACTTCACCCTGTTAAATAAAAATGACAATGACAAGGCGGTTTGTCATTTTCCCATTAACTTCAAACAAAACAAGGTGAAAATTCAAAATACTATGTTGTAGTTTTTTTGTATTTTGATTTTTTTTTTTTTTTTTTACATAACTGTATGTAAATGCATCTGTTTATGCGTACTCTTAGCATACATAAATGAATATATGCATACGTACATATATGCATACATGAATACACACGCACCGAGATCCACAGATGTGTATATGCATATCTACGCACATCAGAGACTCATTTTACTTATTTGCATATCCAAGTAGATATAGAACGACGAAGAGAGAGAAACAGGGATTATTTTGGTCACTTTCGTTGCTATCTTGAATATCTATTTGGGGGAATACTAATTAATCTTGATCCGTAAGTTATGGTAAGGAACAGGTGTTTTCTTAAGAAGCTTTAAGGACGTTGGTAAAGCTCCACGGATAACTTTGAAGACAAGAAGATTTTGAAAAGAAAGAGGGAAAAAAGGTATAGATGGAATAAATGGTGGAAAGAGAATTAGGGCATATCAAAATCCGGATTAGAAATATAGATGGATATTATATGTAAGGCGATTAATTCACGTACCCCTCCCCCTCCCCCTCCCCCCTCCCACCAGGAGAAACAGTAAGAAGGAAGATTGCTGTAACGAGGAATAAGAATGGCGGAGAGAGGGGGGTACAGGGGCAGTACCCATAGGAGGGAGCATCAGGACGGGATATATTCAGGTGTTGGGTCGCAGGGGAGGGTGTGGGGGGGGGGGGGAGCGGGAGTCATGTGTGCGCGGGGGAGGGGAGGCAGATTTGGTCAGTGGGCCGCCAACCCTTACGCTGACTGGACGTGGTTTCAGTTGCTCCTGCGAAACGGCGCGGGACGTCTTTCTCACGGGTAAGGACGGCGAGTATTGTACCTCCTGCGATCACGCTCTCTCGACAAAGATGGATGTTTTGTTCTTTGAATGCATGGAACATATTTTTTATGTTATTTATGTGCTTAATACCTGCAAATAAGTGTTTTTTACATTAGATATTTACCGTTTGTGTATTTTGGCTTCAACAATTTTGTTTCCCTTCGCAGGAGCCAGGAAGATCCTGACGCTGCGTGAGGCAACGTGCGAAGAGCCCTTGTTTGAGCACCCTTCCTGATCCTTCTCGAGGATGACCAAAAAATCCAATCAGGCGGCAGCGAGGGACGGGGGACGAGCCTCGCTGGACGACAAATCCAACGCGGACAGAAATCAGAACGACTCCAAAGGAGGGTCGTTCGCCGGGAAGTACCAGCTGCGCCCCCGCTCCCTGCATTCCCGCCGCCGATGCGACGCCGACTGGAACATCCAGGACAAACGGAAGCCCAAGTCACGGCCGGCGCCTCTTTCCAAGTACCGCAGAAAGACCGCTAACACGCGGGAGCGGCACCGCATGCGGCAGATCAACTGCGCCTTCGAGAAATTACGCGAAATGCTCCCGCGGTGCAGTGCCAGCCGCCGTGGAGCCGCCTCCGACATGACCAAGTTCACGACGCTAAGACTCGCCTCCGCCTACATCAAGGCGCTCCAGGAGATCCTGGACGCCAACACTCGGCAGGACGCGCCGGACGAGGTGTTCCTCGACGACCACCCCGCCAACTCGGGCCGCCAGGACAGCTGTTCGTGGCTGCTCCCGCCCAGCCTGGAGGACGACGCGCCCTTCTTCCCGGAGCCGCAGCTGGAGCTCTACCCCGACAGACCCGTGAGACTGCCGCAGCACCGCCAGGACGACGACGGCGCCGTCACGGACTCCGAACTCGCATCCCTCCTCTGTGACTCCTCGGACTCGGGCGTCTTCGAGGACAACCTCGAGTCGTTCTCGTACCTCTCGCCGGTGTACGGGCCGGACGAGGTGGCGCTGCTGCTGCTGGAGGCCGAGACGTCTTCCTCGTGGTCCGACCTCACCTACACGAAGTTCGCCATCTCCTAACACGTGTCTTCGGAAACGCAGTGGAGTCGCTCGCTCGGCCCCTCTGGCGGAGGCTGACGTTCTGAAGCTGAGTTCGATGCTTTTCCTTGGGACGCTTCTGCTGCAGAGGCTGAAGAAGTGGCATAGTGAGAAATTCTGATAAAAGATTTTACGGTGAATGATAACAGAAGTAATCAAAGTTCGATTAATGTGATGTGTGTGTGAAATTACCCTTTTACCTTGAAAAAATTATATAAAGTAAAAGGAAAATATCATTTATCAGGATTTCTTTGATATCTCACTTCTTCGGATTCCCAGAAAAAAAATCTACAGTAAACAATGATTCTTCGTTACGTACTAATTACAAGCATTAAATATGAATACGAAATACAAGGATCAGATATGACTATTAGCGTGAAAGAACTATAAAAGAATAGAGAGATTTAAAGTGAAAGAATATAGAAGAAAAAAAAACTTTGTAGCCTTAAATTTGTACAGCACTGTACAGCGTTAAGAAACTATATGAATGTGTTTTAAGTCTAATAGCTATGTTTTAAGTGTCCGAACAGTAATCACCTACAGAGACGAGGTAAATTGACCCTCTTACACTTTCCTCAAGGAATTTTTACTGCCTTCATCATCAGTTGGGAAGATTTACGAAGTGTCTTCCAACACCAGCGTTCAAAATATGAACAGCGAACGTCTCATTGCTGAAGCGTGGAAACCATCATCAAGCAGTGATGGGGAAGAAGATGCAATATAGTTTATTAGTGGCGATGAGGATGGTAAAATTATACTCCAATTCTTTTTTTTTTTTTTTCTTCTTTTTTATAGTGATGAAGATGCACTTGACATATTTGTGATGACACACGACAGGTCGATATTATGCTAATTACAGTCCTTTTGATAACTGACCTGTGGATGATGATAATCATTTGAAATATATTTCTGAATCATTTGAAATATAATTTTATTCATTCGTGTTAAATTAATTCAGTTGTCACTATCGTCTCAAGTGCATATTCACCTGGATAGCGAAACTAGTAATAAAGATGGAAAATATATATAAAGAAAGATAGCGGAACATACTTCACCTTTCATGAGTTAGTAGTGAAGATGAAGGTTTTGCAAAATATCCCCTGACATAGATTTTTTTCTTTTTTTTTAATCATAGCGGAGACAAAAAAGGTTTTTGTTTTATATTCATTTCATTCCGACACTTCGTCAGACTCATGTCAAGATGAGATCATTTTTCTAGTCAACGCCCCTGTGCCATATGTAGATTTCCTTTGTTCATTTGATTTTAAGATTATTCTATTTCATTTTTTGTATATACATGGTTGCAATATCATCTGATTTAAACATTCAGTTTGTTTTGGAAAAGGAAAAAAAAATACATAGCTTTTTATAGGATGATGTTGAACATCTAACTGATATCAATAAATCGA